GCTGCTGCTGCAGCTGCTGCAGCAATGCAGCCACAGCCAAACTGGGGCCACGATGAAGGCAACCAACAGCAGCAAGAGCAGCAGCAACAGCAGCAGCAGCAGCAGGCGGGTAGCAACGTGCAGCAGCCGAGGCACCAACACGAGCACACTCCTAGTCAAAAGCAGCAGCAGCAGCAGCAGCAGCAGCAGCAGCAGCAGCAGCAAAGTGATTTCACTCCACAGTCCTCATGGGGCCCCTTCATACAAAGCTCTCCTGTTCTAGATTACTACGGGGGGCCCCTCAGGGGCCCCCGACTTCTTCCTTTATGGGAAGGGCCCGCCGAGGTAGTCAGAGTACCCTTTAGGGGCCCCTGGGGGCCCCCCTTGGGGGGCCCCCCTGCAGTTGGTGGGGGCCCCCGTGGGGGTCCCCCCGGGGGCCCCTACAGGGGCCCCCATGGGGGCCCCTACGGGGGCCCCTATGGGGCCTCCTATGAGGCCTCCTACGGGGCCCCCTACGGGGCCCCCTATGGGGCCCCCTATGGGGGCCCCTGGTGGGCCTCGTGGGGGGCCCCCTATGGGGCCACCTTTGGGGGGCCCCCCGGGGGCCCCTATGGGGGCCCCCCTGGGGGGCCCCCTTTTGTACCAAGTTGTGCTGCTTTTGATGAACTGTGTGGGCTGCTGTGGGTGGGCAGCGAAGATGGTTATATGAGCTCTTTTGCTGCTGATTTGGACTGCAGCAGCAGCAGCAGCAGCAGCAGCAGCAGGGTTTGCTGCTGCTTCAAGGTGGCCGGGAACACCGAGCAAGGCCCTGCTGCCGTGCGCTCCATTATTCCCACGGAGGCCGGCGTTTTCTGTAAACCCTAAACCCTAAACCCTAAACCCTCATTTGTAAACCCTAAACCCTAGACCTGAGAGCACTCGTTGTTTGAGCACCGAGCCCTCTGCCTGCTTCGTTTGTGCTGTTGCTGCTGCTGCTGCAACTCTTGCTGCTGCTGCAACTTTTGTTGCTGCTGCTGCTGCTCCCACTTCTACCACTGCTGCTGCTGCTCCCACTTCTACCACTGCTGCTGCTGCTCTTTTCTGCTGCCGCTGCTCCTGTGCTGCTGCCCGTGCTCCTCTTACCTTTGCTGCTGCCGTTTGTTTGCTGCTGCCGCTACAACTCGTGCTCCTTCTGCTGCTGCTGCTGCTGCTGCTGCTGCAGGCGTGTGCAGCAATGGAGTGGCCTTGTATCGCCGGGGGGGGCTGCATGTCTGTGGCTTTTCTGCTGCTGAGCAGCAGCAGCTGCTGCAGCGCTGCGGGAGGA